GCAGGTAACCCCTCTGCCTAGGGAGCCTCAGGAGCAGGCTGAGGCCGGGCTTGGGGAGGGCGGGGGCCGTCGGCGCTCCCAGCCAGAGGCCGCGTTATTTTGGGGGACGTCTTGTGACTCTGAGTCCCGCAGCCAGGGCCCCATCCGAGGGCTCAGACCCGCAGCCCCAGGCCCGCAGGTAACCCCTCTGCCTAGGGAGCCTCAGGAGCAGGATGAGTCGAGGGTGGATGCTGGACGCTGCCTGCCCCTGCTTCCTACTCTCCCCCCTGGCCTGGCTGGGCCGAACCGGCAGCCCCCACGCCTACAGTTCGTCTGTTCAGGGAGAGAAAACGGCTTTCCCAGCTCTTCTTACCCCACTTCACTCTCAGAGCGTCGGGGCGGAGTGAGGGTGAGGAGCCTGGTCCATGGTCCCCACCTCGGAAGCATTTAGAGATGTAAACGTCGATCCTTTGATCATTTAACCTGCTCGGCGCAGCAGGGAAGCAGGAACTTGGGCCCTACCCCCGTCCCCAGAGACTTTGAAGGGAAGGGCTGGACAGTTTGGAGGCCAGCAGACCCCTTGGGGACAGCTTAATGCTTCTGAAGATTCCTGAGTGGCAATGCTGCTGGAGGGCAAGCTGCTCCTCTTTTTCAAAAACTCATTTTCTCTAGCAGCTGTTTTGGCCTCTTTGGTGTCCCTGAGCTCCCCATGGCAGTTTCCTGCCATGACTTTCTCCTCCTGGACACTCGGGGAGCCCAGGTGGTGCCCGCGCACCTCTCACACACTGGGGGATGGGGTCCAAGGCCTCATCCAAGTCTGTTAACAGCTTCCCACTTGACCAGTCTCCCCAAAACATACTGAGTTAAACGATTCTGCTTATAAAGGAGTGCTATGAAACTGACCTATTTTCCTAATTGGTTAACTTACTTCATCTCACATAACCTTGAGTAACCAAAGCCTTCATCAGACCGGATGATCCAACTCAACACGCTGTTTTCCAGCCTCAAAAGGCACGGGGATAAATGGCCACCCAACTCCTTCCCAACCCTCCCCGCCAGGGACAAGAGATGGCCCCCTCTTTCCCTTTCCTCACTCTGCACGCACTCTCCCACCAACGGGTGCGTCACAGCCCCTCACTGGGACTGGGGGGCCTCCCTCTCCAGTGGAACCAGTGTCACACGCCTGGCATCCCTGTGATTCTCAGAGGGTCTGAGGTCCCAGGACCAGCGAGCACCCTTTTGTGGCCTGTGGGAAGACGCTACAAAGTCCCACTGGATCTGAACCAGAGGCCTGTTCTGCAGAGCAGGGAAACTGTGTCCTGGCAGAGAGTGTGGTCCTGGGCACACAGGACCCCTCGGCAGGCTGAGGTGGAGCTGGGGCGAGGGGCGGGAGTGGAGCTCTGGGTAGCTGAGGGTGTGAAGGGCCCAGGGCCTGTGTCTGGGCAGTGCGGAAGTCCCAGCCCCACGCCTGTGGTGAGATCCCCGTAGGGCCCCCCACCATGGACACTTCGGGGCCTCTGCGGTCTTCCAAAGCTGTGTCCTCACTTCCACCGCAGCAGAGGGGCGTCCCCGGCTCTGTCAAACAGCCCTTTCTGTTTCTGGAGTCCTACAAGCGGAGGCCCAAATCTGCTCCCATGCTGAGACAAGGCCCCGGCTGCTCCTTCCTCCTCGGGAAACCGCCTCGAGCCCTTCCTTTGGGGAGTGCCTCCTCCACCTGCCTTGAAGGGGTGCCCCTCTCTCACTGCCTGGAACCAAACGCCCCCTTCCTTTGTGTACCAGGGCAATAAAGAGTAGACCTTCATCTCTTTTATTTTATATATGATGCTTCTTTTAATGCAGCCAAAAGTGGTATTTGCTTTTCTCAGAACCATAATCGATACAAGATGCAGTGACCAATTCATTCCTTAAAACACCTGGGCTCCTTAAGGGGCTAGAAGACACAAGTTACCTCCAGCCCATCAGGGAGCCAGAGGTGGGAGGGGTCCCCAGCCAAGCTCTGGCAGGCCTGCTGTGGAGCAGGGCCTGACCGTGCAGCCAGAGGCTGGCAGAGGCCCGGGGAAGGGTGAACAGGGGCAGCTGGGCTCTCAGTCCTGGGAACTGGAGACCAAGGGCTGCTCATCAAGCTCCGTCAGGCAAGGGCGGCCCCATCTGTGCCTGGTGGATTCTAACTGCTTCCAAGGTAGAGGAGGACGCGTGCAGGAAATCATGTCAATTGTCACCTTCTGCCAGCCTCCCACGGGGACACTCTGGGTTGGAAGCCTCTTCTAGTCCTGGGGGCCAGGGGCGCGGGAGGCCCTGGAGCGTGCCCACCCCCTTCCACCCCCTTGGAGGCACGAGGGAGATGGTGTAATACTGCTGAAACCTTCTTGTTTACAAATGCATCAGGAGAGGCTTGGGCACCCTTTATCCAGTTTGCGAGCAAGGGGCCAAGACACGTGAGCACGCACTGTGTGGGCAGGGATGAGGGCCGGGCACCCCAAGCCAGATCCTGCCACCTGGGGAGGCGCTGGCCTGTGCTTCCCAGAGCCCCCACCTTCTGTCAGGGTCTCATGCAGGCCCTGCTCGCGCCGGCCCCCTGGGGGGGCGGTCATTGCCGATTCCGGCTGCCCAGCTTCCTGCGGTCCTTGTTCTGGCTGCGCTGAGGGTCATCCATCTTGTGGACACGGAAACATTCCTTGAGGTTCTGGGACCTGATCTTGGGATTCAAGATCTCCTCAGTCATGGAGCTGGGGAACCAGCCTCTCTCCTGGTCGTGCAGACGCTCGCCAAAGATCCACCCTGTGCAGGGAGGGGAGGGAGGGAAAGTTAGGTGCTCCTGCAGGGCGCAGGCTGCACAGAGGCTCCCTCCCAGCCAGGGGCCCCATCTGTGTGCAGGACACTAGGGATCCAGCTGGCCTTTCCCAAAATGCAGCAGCTCTGCACACCTCTGCCGAGATGCTCAGACCGGATTCACCCCCATAAGCTGGGAGGTGCGTGGGCATCTGCACAGAACAAGACCTGCTCCGTGCCACGCAGTTCCACATTGACTTTGGAACCCGCTCTGGGACCCTCGGCAATTCTGTGCTGCCCTACACGAGCCCAGGAGACCCAAGGGCCACTCCAAAGAGCTGGGGGCATTCAAGGGGCTGGTGGGGGTGGCAGCTGAGTGCATGGTTAGCCGGTCTGGACTGTGTCATTAGCCTCTTGCTGAGCAGATCCTCCCAGGCTTGGCCTCCTCAGGGCCGGTGTGGTCAGTCGAGAGGGCCCATCATGAACTGGCAACACCAGTAGTCTCAGCGTCACCTGGCTTCTCCCTGCCCTGTTTCTCCACCTCTCCCCTCCCCTGGAGATCACCAGGTCTTTGCTCAGACCTTGTGGCTGATTGGAGCTAAGAGGCCTGGGGCATGCCCTCTGCAGGTCTCATTTGGGAGGGGAGCAGGCTAGTTATATTCCATGGGAAGAGGGCAGGAGAGCCCCTGGGCCTTTGGGAACAGCTCACAAGAGGGACTCCCTGGAGAAGGCCTCCCCTGGAGGTCCCAGCCTGAGGCCTTCCACCAGGACCCGGCAGGAGAGGAGGAGGCGGGGAAGATGCGGTTGTATACTTTGGGGATTTGGATCAGGAGCAATTACTGTAGAGGCAGGGATGTGATTTGAAAAGGGAAAGGCGGTCTGTGTTCAATTCTACAGGGGCTGGGAGGAACTTCACTTGGTACTGATGACACCAGCAGGGGTGGCCAGGAGCTGGGGGCGGCTTCTTGGCCCACATGGGGCACTGAGCCTGGTGGTCACAGGCTTACCTGAAGCTGCAAGTACGGGTCTGGGTGAGGGCAGGGTCGGGTCTGGGTGAGGTCAGGGTTAGGATGTTCCTGGTTGTCCCCTCACACTGTGATGGAGGCGCTGAGGCCAGGACCAGGGGAAGGGGACACGAAGCCACCTGCTTGGGCTGGGCCCACTGTGAAGGAGGAAAGGTGGGGCCTCCCGGCTCTAGGGGAGGACAGGGAGACACTGAAAACAATTCCTCCTTTATGCTGAGGAAAGGCCAATGAAGCCAGGATGGACGGTGTCCAAGCAGAACGTCTCAGGGAGCAAGAGACATGGCAGGGCACCCGCCCCTCAGCCAGTGGTGATGCTTCTCCACCTCCCCGTCATCTCTTGCTGGGCAAGGCTCCATGCGGCGTCCCCTGGGGGCCCCGAGGGGAGGTCCCTGGGCCTCACCATCGTCAGTCTTGTCCAGGATGTTGAGGATGTCGGCGAGCTCCAGCGTCAGCTCGTCTGGCTGCTGAGCCACGTATGGGTGCACGCACTGGACCTGGGGGCAGTCTGAGGGACAAGAGGCACAGGTACGTCCCCACCACCGCGCCACCCACCTGCCTGCTCCCACCAAGCCCGCAGCTGAGCTCTGCCTAGAATAAGAAAACTCCCACAGCAACTGGAGAAGGGCTCATCTGAGGAAGAGGAGGATTTGTTTCCAAAGAAAACGTTATTAACATAGCCAGGAGTTCTGGGAAGAAATACATGCATAAAGGCTGTGAGGGGCCTTAGTTTCCACTTCAGAAGGAACTTTTTGTACCTGGGATATGGCCCTGGGAGTGGTTTGGGGTGGTCAGGACAGGGTTCATATGATCAGGGTTAGCAGCTTCTCCATAAGGCTGCTGGACTTGTGCTTTTTTCTTTTTGAGACAGAATCTCCCTCTGTCACCAGGCTGGAGTGCAGTGCAATCTCAGCTCACTGCAACCTCCGTATCCCAGTGCAATCTCAGCTCACTGCAACCTCCGTATCCCAGTGCAATCTCAGCTCACTGCAACCTCCGTATCCCAGTGCAATCTCAGCTCACTGCACCCTCCATATCCCAGTGCAATCTCAGCTCACT